CCCACTGAAGTATAAGGAAATTACTTCAATGCACCACAACAAACACTTAATGTATAGTTCATTATGATATTCAACAAAAATTTGAACATGTTGACCATTAAAATATAAGGTTAGTATAAATATTTATTGGAACATATATGTGTAGGCAAAGGGGCATGGGTTACACAAGAACTTGATTGTAATATTTTTTGTGAACAGCAGCCTCTATTTATTTATTTATTTATTTGTTTGTTTGTTTGTTTATTTATTTATGAGGTTCTTTAGGAAAAAAAAGTCATTATAGAAAAGATATTATGTGTAGCTACTGCTCTTTGGAGTACTTTGAAGAGCTTTATATTTTAGTTCACTAATTTATTAAAAAATGTAATTCTCATTAAAAATCATGTTAATTTCATAGAGAATACTTTTAAAATTCTCATGTTCATAATTTTGTAAATTATACAAGACTTCAGGATGTTTGTGACCTGTTAAAGTGAGGATAAATTTTAAACATTATTGATTTTTTTATCAGTAGAAGCAACTGTGAGACTGAGCAGGGAAGCGCAAGTTATCCATTCTTCTGCTGTAATGTCACTTAGAAACCATTTCAGTTACCCGACCTTGGCAACCCCATCATGTGTAAAACTCCTAAATTAACTCACTTCAGTTCTAACAGTGAGTCTTTCAAACAAGCTGCTATCACCTAGGATACACAACTATGTGAACAAGTACAGAGAGTCAAGAATGCCCTCCATCCATGTTTTGCACTTGCCAGGCAAAAGCCAGCTGCAGTTGAGAAGGCATGTAACTGAATCCAAGGCAACAAGGCACTGAGCCAAAAATAATGAGCTGTGCTAGAGCTCAGGGCTGTACCAAAGCATTTACACGGTTTCTGGACTGTTGGTGGCTCAGGTCAAGGAAGGCTGGAGGATGGATGTCTCGCAGACCCACTTTGAAGCAGCTCACACAAAAGCAGATGAGAATAGTATAGGCTTTTCAACAATTCATTGAGGAACAGAGAGTGTAAGAGGCCAAGACAATTTTAGTTCTTTGAAAACAGAGCAAAAAACGAAAATCACAGTAAGATGAACTTGTGGTCGCAGTAAGGTTAATGACTGAATTCCACATAGCTTGATGTTAGGGGAGGTTACTGGCACAAGGTGATGTTTGTGTAAGCACTACATAACACACCATTTTAATGCTCATGATTGTTGAAGGATTTATTTAAATTGTTTTTATTTTTCAGTGTCCTAATTTTCCAATTGTCAAATGAATTGTGGGACTGATAATTAATGAGTTAGTGGCGTCACTTTGGTGTTACAGATACTGTACCGTAGCTAGTGCAATACAAAACTTGCCCTCCTTTGGCAAGAAGTTGACACATATAAATTGCCATTCTAAAGTCTTTCTTCAGCAATTAAAAACAGCACACCAAATACCAGCACATTAAAAGCCTCTAATCTAATACAGTAAATTGTAGTTGTGCTATCTATCCTTTGGTATAAACACTTATTGTTCATCTGGCTAACATTTAATGGTTTGCTAGGGACCTGAGTGGTTCATGATTTAAAGCCGCACATAATCTCCAAAGTAATAGAACAGGAGTATGAACATATTATTTAGGTATAGAATGAGTAATATATGTAGTGAAAAGTAGGCTATTTACATAGAAATAAACTATGGATAAAAATATGCATAGGCTTATGAGAAGTGCATTATAAAAAAGGAAGTAATATATGTCACTACATTATAGTTTCTGAATTATAAATTCCTTTCATTGCTCATCAAAAGAATATGAAAAGAAGGAGACAGGGTTTATAAAAAAAAAGAAATTGTGTGTTTTACATTAGTTGTAATATAAGTTTAGTTGTATTACTATTAATTACAAAATAACTCTGCATGACTTTGACGAGGTAAGGCCCATAGGTGGAAATGGTAGTTTTATTAGACCACCTCCAACAGTTGGAGAAAACAGACAATGTTTCTTTGGGCAAACATTTGTTTTGGGCAAACAAATCTTTTTCCATGTCTATTATGAGCAGTAAATTCCAGATTTGCTTCAAATTCAAACAATTGCTCTGAGCAGCATATTCAAGTGATCTAATAAAAACACGAATCCCATTTACAAACCTTACCTTGTCTATGTCTTTCCACCACAGCTGTGACAACTCCACTGCTAAAGTTGACTACAAGTAGGTGATCTCCATGGGACATAAAAGGAACTCCTAAGTATTTCTGAACATATACGATGCTTATCAGAAAACAAATGAATGCCAGTGTAACTAAAGATTGCAGCTCTTCCTAGAATTAGGAATAGCATCTACAAGGAGTAATGGATCAGGAAACAACTTTGTGTAGTTCTAAAGTTATGAGACAAGCTTTTACATGGGATCTCAGCTTTATGTTATACCCTCATTTGTGTCAGCTGGTTTTGCACCTAGACCAGGTTATACGACCCGAAGTACTGACAGAGGTCTCAGCACTTGACATCTTCTGAGCTTTGTTTCTGCCTTTCTCTAAGGGACAATGACAGCTTCGTTAATACAGATAAAGCTTCAATAAAAACTTTGTGAGGAGATTATCCAAATTTATATTTACAACTAAATGACAAACAGCAGGTGCATCCAGTGAGATGTTACTGGATTTTGTATTGCTTGCCCAATTGGAGAGGCTGTCTCATCTCTCCTTCCTCTGTCAACACCAGATCCCTGCCTTGTTAACACCCTACCCTAATTCTGAAGATACATTGATTTTTTTTTTTCCTTTTCAATTTTCCCAAAGAATATCTATACAATTAAAGGAGATGATGATACTTAGTCATTTATACTCTTCAGCACAAATTACATAGTAAAGCTTCTTAAAAATGTTTTATTGCTTACATTTCCAAAATAAGAATAATTCATGATATAATCACTCAGAATTTTGCAATCACTTTTGCTACTGACCTTCCCTACCTCTCAAGGAATGGAACTTACAATGAAAGATTGAACTGGTGCTCCTCTTTTTTTCCTTCATTCCTTTCCATCACTCTCCTAATTTCTTATATTGTCACATGTTACACATGTGTGTTATCACAACTCTTTCAAGGTCACATGTTTCAGTACGTGATATTAGTGTAATTTCAGGATAGTCAACAAAATGAGGTAATTTTTCACTGGTTGAGGACATGGTTCAATATTGAGGGATATTTTCTGTTACAAGCAACTGGCATTTGTATAAATATAAACCCTTCCCATCCATTTGAACAGATATACATCATTATATTTGCAGAAGAAGCATTGTGATAATCAAAACATAGTAATAATTATTTCTATATTAACAGGATAAATCTAATAAAAAATTAAAATATGAAAATCAAAATGTAGTCAAATGATTAGATGACTAGTGACTGGTGTTCAAATTATGTCACATGGCACATCATTAAACATTAAATGTAGCTAGTATATACAAAGTAATTTTTTGGTGAATATAGTTGTTAAACCTCTAAAAATAAAAAATATAAGTGTCTAAGTATTGTACAATACTTGCAAAGGTTTTTTTTTGCTAAAAATCTGCTCTCCAGATCAACTAATGATCATAGTATATCCTCATAATATTTATATTTCAATCCTTTCATACAAAAATAAATTCATCAGTGCTGTACATACTACAAAATTTATTCTGTGTACAGAATAGAAAAATAATTCCTCATTATCAAAAATTATATATAGTGTCAAGGTTCAGTTACTATAACATGTCATTTTAAGGTAACTCTACCCAAGACATCTACTGATTAGGAGTAAGATAGCAATAAGAAATAATAAGGAAGTCATACATACAAGGTACTATTAAGAAAAACACAAGGAGCAGCCATACAACAAACAAAACAAAATGGTCCTACAAAACAAAGAAATCAGTAGATTGGTTTTCATAACTTAAAACTTTTGCTAAGCAAGAAGATTTAGAGCTCCAGAACACACACAACCCTTTAAATGGTATCCCAGCTATAGAGGTACACAGTCTTTCCAGGGAGTCTGATACGAAGAGGAGTGAGACACTACAGATTTTTAATAACAGTCTTTGCATCACGTGAACTTTCTAGGTTTGGAGACAATAAAGCCAAGACAACAACAAACCTGGAAGTTTTTTTCTAATTTAAGTAGTTAGGAAAGTATGACCATGCAGATTGGACTTCTGATCTATACAAAGAGTAGGCACACCCTGACAAATGCTTAAGATGAATAGAACTGTAATATTCATCATACATAACAGAGATTAAATGGCTTTTAATGGCCATCTTCTTATTATAAAAATATATTTATAGGATGTCTGTGAACAAGTATCCTTGTAGCAAAACCTGGTGTTTATTTACACAGGAAAAGTCTTGACCCTACTGCACATCTCCTCCAGAAGAGAGAAATACATGGCTGGTATTCTTTACATAAAGAAACAAAAAGAATAAAAAAACCTGAAATAACCCAACACTTCTCTTTGTCGTTCATTCTTCCTCACTTCTTTGTCCAATTCTTGTCTCAGATATCACTCAAAGTGATTAATATACAAGGAAAATCTCAGGACAAATGCGATTGGCTGATAGCAGACTTGCTAAAGTCAGTGCTATTCTAACTTAAAACTTACGTCAAGCTGTGGACTGACCCTGGACAGATTATCTCCAGAGAGTCCAAGTTGAACAACATCATGCTTTTTTTCCTTGTCTGGCGGTTTAGACTACAATTTTTTTGAGAACAGAAAAAGGCATACCTCAAAATGTGGCTGTTATTTCATCCTGTACGCTTTCTATAACTGTAGCCTTCTTTATCAGTGCCAAAGCTCTACATCTCTCACAAAAAACCAGGAGACAAACTAAAAATGGTCAGCCTGTACTTAAGGATAATTCTCCTTACCATGATATCCATGAAATATTTATTTAAGGATATACCTACCTCATGTTATCAGTGCAAAAATTTGACATTTATTTGCATTACTTATATATACATTAAAGTATACCGATGGCATTAAAAATAAAGAAAATCATGTTATACCTTTACTTTTACCTATGGATTTGGTGAAATGGTTCCATGAAGAAAGCATTTCCAGACAAAAAGAGAATAAAGAAGAGGAGAGAAACAACAGTAAGAGTCATGAGTACATGTAAATGCAATACTATATGAACATGAAGAGACAAAGTATAAGGTAAGTGCCTGAAGACAAATGGAGATGCAATCAGTGTCATATTAGGGATTTAGTTTATTTCTTCCCAATCATGTACATGCAGAGAAACACAGAAATAACCCATGCTTAGATAAGAAAGACTGTCACAAAAGTAACATGGACAACGGTTAGGAGGAAAAAAATCACTGATTTTGTTAGGTAGCAAAATTGTACTCTCAGCATTCCAGAAGCCAGGAGCAGGTGCTTTCTGCACATTTCCAATCAGCCATGCATTAATGTAAATGGACTCTTCAATGTGTACAATGTGGCAAGCTGAGTATCTTCTTTCAGGAGCTATCTGAAGAGTGGTCTTGCGCTTTGTTTAATTTTACAGAATCACCCATAATTGTATTTTCTGATACATGGAATTTTCTTAATCACTTTCTTATTTCTCTCACCTCTTTTCAGTTATTGTATTGCAAGAGGGGGAGTTGAGGATGCAGGAAGGACAAAAGCTTACTGAGCAAACAAAAAAACAAAAAATGAAATAAGAAAAGATGTGACTAAAACCATGTGTTTATTTGCAGCCAAAGACAGCTTTCAAGCATTTGCCCATCAGTTGCAGTGATGGATTCAAAGCAGCTACAAAACAAGAAGAAACAATGAAAGCAGAGTGGAAAAGGAACAGAGCCCATACCTTGGTCGCCCATCATCAGGTGCGCCAGACCTTGAAGGGAAACAAGAGCACAGTCAGCAATGAACAAGGGAGCACGGGAAGGTGGTGTTGTCACACTGACAAAAATGTTTTGTGACAGGCATCTGTTTCCTATGAGATGTCTGTATCACAGAGGGAAATCAAAGAGCATTTTTCAACCACTGGTTGGAATGCTTTGGGCTACGAGTAACAGAACTGCAATTCAAACACTGGGTGCTGTTTTATTGTGGGGTTTTTTTTGTAATGTGCAGTAGTTGGGATGACAGAAAACAATAAAATGCTTTCAAATCCAACCAATTCCTTTAATAATCCATCTATATTTATCATATTTTGATTATATTGCTTTGAATACTTTGCTGGGAGGACTTCCTGTCCTCTACGAGTGAAATGACATTTAAAACCTGGAGAAGTTTAAACCTGAAAAATGGGCTGGGTCTGATCTTTTTCCCCTCATAAAAATGAGCATTTCAGGTAATTAAATAAAATTTCTTCATCACACTGAAATGATAATGCAAAGGAGGTCTCCTTATTTGTGTGAAATGTGACAGTAGAATGAATTTGTTCTAGAGAAGGCAAATTATTACATATGCAATATAAAATACATAGTAATAAAGAAAATTTAAGTGACAGTTTCTGTAACTACATAAATCTGAGAGAAATAGATTTTGCATTATATTTGTATTGTGAAATGAAATTCAATCATACCAGAATAGGTCTAGTGACATTTCAAAACAGATGTCCATAATGATAATCACTCAACCAGAGCCAAATTTCACTACTCTTTAAGGAAAAATATTCAGCTTTTTTAATCCATGATAATAAAATGATACTTAAATTCTCACAGAGTATAATACAATGCAGGGAAAGCATTTTTCTAGAAACGTGAGGGTTCTTCACATTTTATGCCTGATTTAAAAAACAGATTTATTCTTGTTGAACTTAGCTGTTTTGGGATCCATTTTAGAAGTTATTAATTGTTCATGTGTTAAATGTGCTCCTCTTCTCCAACAACTACTAAAAGCCATACATTATTTTCTTAATTGCAATGAACTGAAATTAATTCACACAAAGAAGGTGAGCAATAAAATATCCTACTCTTTATTGAAAAGCAGACTTCCTAGAGAGTTCCTATGATTTCTAATTCACAAAGAAAATTAGGTGCACAAATGACTCATAGTATTTGGGGGGGGGAGTTCAAAGATACTCCCAACTGCAATCAGCCTGAAAGGATTTGTATCTTATCAGTTCCAAATCTCAAGCACACTGACAGTGTTCCAAGCACACTGACAATGGTTTTGCTGAATTAGTGCTTTTTAATGTCACCCGTTTTAGATGTGTAGTTAAACTGAAGGGCCTGATGTGCCTCATCTCTTGTGCAATAAATTCTGTTTCCAAATACAGCGCTCTGCAACTGGTGGGATTACCTGGGGCTTACAGCAATGTAAATGAAAGCTGACTGTGATCCTGAAGGGATGCCTGCATAAGCATTGCTTGGGAAACATCACACAGCTGTACCACAGTTTGCAGCTTGTGAAAGAGAGTAGAAATGTTTTCATGAGTGTTCTTTATAAGTGTTGATGCAAGAGAGACATCCTAAATACACAGCAGTGTATAAAGACCAGCTGAGCTTCGTTCTTTTAATGCTGGGTGTTCTTGCTTGGATCCCTTGCCACATGGCCTTTGGGAAGTATCAGTCTCTTCTTGTGATTGATTAACTTGTTGGCAACTACAGCAAGAAATCTCAGACTTTTGACTTGACCTTAACTGTATTTGATAGAGGAAAAGTGAAACCAGTCGAACATTACAACATCTTTTTCTTTAATAAAACTGTGACTTTGCAGCCACTACTTTATGTGAGTCTTTCAGCTCCTCGAAAGTATGAAGCAAATCACTGTCATGTCTCCTAGGGGAATGCAAAGAAGGTTATCTCTTACTAGTTCACATTTACATATGAACTTTTTAGCTATACAAAACCAAACAAAAGAACCAGATTATCACTGCTTGATAGCTACTACTTTTATTAAAATTATATGTGAAATTGGTCAGTTGCAAATACATGATTCTTACATAATTTGGAAAAAAAAATGTAAATGACAGAAGTGCCTCTTGAAAATATCATAGAAACTACTTGAATTTTAAGTCACTTACAGTGTTATTCAATGAAAAAAGGCAGTCGAGTAAATGTAAGAAACATACCCTACTCCAAACAAACATCTACCTATTTAAAAATTCAGTACTAGTCTTCAAGACACTGTATTTTGTTTGACTCTCTCTGTTACTTTATTTGAAAGCAGTAAGGTCACCTATATTTACTTGCTAAAAGCACATAATGATACCTACCTTATTTTATATTTTTGCAATCTATGGATGAAGGTTATTGGAAGAGTGAAGAATTACTACTACAGTACCTGTTCCAGAGAGTGGTTTAAACTGATGTAGCTAAATCTAGCATGATAGCAATCACTGCTAGATTTCCAAAATAAAAGTCTGCTTGTATTAGAGAGTACCACAACAAATAGTCATGGAAAGTTCTAGCCTTAACTAGCCATGTATAGGCATCCCATACATTGAAAATACTCATTTGTGCACCATGACTTCATTAGAGGACTGATAAAAGCCTTTTCTTTGTGAATTAGGAATTCAACATTTAGTAGGAATCCCTCAGGCGTGATCCACTCCAACTATATCCTGAACTTGGCTCTGAGTGGAGAGAGTTAAGGGGCGCAGGGTGGGATAGTGGAAGTAGATATGAAGATAGGATATTTTCATAGTTTGGTGTGTGAGTTCCATGCAGAGCACAGGGTCAAAACAAAACTTAAATGTGATAAACCTGCAGTGAACATGTTCAACCCTAGCACAACTTCAGTAAAATGAAAAAACTGCAGCCTTTCCATACCAGCAGTATATATATATATATATAAAATTAACTCTGTGAATACTAAATATTTCTAGGTTTTATGTAGCCTAAATTACAGAGATATTCAGATATCACAGAGATCAAAGATGAAAAAAATCTCAGTTAAGTTTTCATGTTGTGCTTTGGGTACACCATTCTATGCTTCCATTCTTTACATATTCATCCTTTGTAACTTTAATGTATGTATAAGTATCCAGACCTGCATTGGAATAAATATAAGGTTGCAGTTTTAAGAATTAGATTCAGGTAAAGTCTGGATTAACTGTTATCCAGGCTTTATCTTGTACTGCTGTGCATAAACGAGTATGTGAAATGCAATTGAACCTCCTTATCTACTCATGCTGAACCTAATTCAAATTTTAAGACTCATGTTGACACCAGCAAGAGTTTTATGCACAGATCAAATACAAGATTAGGTAGTTCTTTCTAGGCTTTTATATTTTTGTTAGAATTGCTATCCCAGTGTTGTTGAAGACATTTTTATCTCACAATGAAAATGAAATTGCATTGTATGTGTGTGACAGTGCACACAATTAAAGCACCGGAATTGTTTAAATTTTCTTTCTCCTCGGGTAACGTATATTTTCACAAAATTGCACAGCACTGTCTGTGTGTTAAATCTGAGTATCTCTTTTCACCCTTGAATAGAGTAGCATAGAGAAATGCAGTACCAATACTTCCAGGCTTCCTTAGAAAATTGTCACTGAGCAGGCAGTGGCCTATGGTGACTTGAAACCTGCATGAATTTAGGCCTAACAGTGGCTCACTAGAGGACCCTGGGTCAGAGTAGTTCCAGGGAAGTCACTTTGCATATGGTTAGTTTACAAACTCCTTGTTTTAAAAATATTTTTTAAAATATTGGAATAAAATAAAAGCAATTTCTCAGTTTAGATAGATAAATTAATTTTTCAGATAGATAATCATTTATCTAGTATGCAAAGATTCACCCCAGAGAGACTTAAAAGCACTTGTAAATAAAAAAGCACCTGCCCCTTTTGGCTTCTAAGCAAAAACACAGTATTGATTTCCTGAAATAACTGATCTGTAAAACACATTCTGTACCATTAAAACTATTATATATTTGTATGATTTACCAGCTAATAGACTTACTTACCAATATTCAGGCTAGATGGCATTATGCTTTAGTTTCCACTGCCCTAGGCCATACTCTCTTTAAAGGTACTCAATTACATACCAACATAATTATTAAAATCACATACTGCTTCTTTCACAATGTCCAAAAGGCAAGTGCAATATGCTGAAAAGTTAGACAGAAAATCTTTTTATTCTAAAACTTTGTGCTGTAAAGGATATTAAAGTAAGCAAGGTTTATAGTGTTAAAGAGAAAAGCGCTTTCCATTTTCCTAAGCAATTAAAAGATAGATATTTAACATGCATTACTTTCTTATTGGGAGGATTTACGCTCCATGCTAATGAGACAAATAGTTTCTTGAAGTGTTTTTCATACAGAACATTAGAAGAAATCAGTCCTTCTGCAAATCTCCTGAAAGATTCTGAAGGGTGATATCAGTCATATGAGTACAAATTCCATTGTTTCAGTGGGGATATTCTGGAATTACACCAATAAGGCCAAGATTAAAATGGAGCTTTGCTTGTGTTCTGTATGGAAAAAGAAATCACACTTATTTAATAAACCTGTATACCTTTATGGGTAAAAAATGCAACTTACCGTATTGAATGAATGTGTACTTTTATAACATTAAGCAGAAGGGAAAAAAAATCACTAAACAGAAGGGAAAAACAAGAGCTTAGGAAAATAAGGTAGAAAGCACCCACCTTCCACATAGTTGTCTTCTGTAAGCACATAACAGGGAAGGAGAGAAAAGGAAAACATTCATTAAGCAGCATGCAGACTGGAACTTGCCATTGCATGTCTTCATCATGCAAGGCATCAAACACAACATGCAAGTGCTCCATTGCTACAATCCAGAGGGAAAAACAAAAGCACCAGGGAAGCAGTGTTTCGTCTATTTAACAAATTTTATGTGATATGAAATAAAACAATACTCTTTCCAAAGTGCAAAAATTGTACAGCATTTACTGCAGCTCTTTGTACGTGCAATTATTATTATTATTGGTCATTAATCAGAGGATCTTCTTGTAAGACTTTTATAACTATATATTTTAAAGCCACCAGTCATTTGTGATAGGAATTCTAAGTTAATATGGTTCTACTTTCCTATTCTGAATTTTCCTTAACAACCTGTACGAAATAGGTGATTTTAAATTTCAGATAAGCTAAATTTTTGAATATGCTGTGAAGATGTTACCACAGGCAGCGTGTCTGATCCTGCAGTCATTACTGAGGCACTCACTCTGGTCATTGGGTCAAATCTCCAAACCCAGCATGGAGAAACTGGCATTTAAACTGGGTTCAATAAGTCAGAGTTATAGAATCATGTTCCACAACATTTGTCAGCATCAGAAACCTGCACCTCTTTAAAAAAAAAAGTAAAAAATCAACAAATTCTCTGCCTGGCCCAGCAAGCAAAGGCCACAGCAGTCCCAGGCATGGGTTCTGCCCCTAAAAAGGCTGCTTTCAACAAGCAATAATTTGGCCTTCTATCCTCAACCCAACACTAATGTGGGGCATGGAAAATAAGGTTCCCCCAAAGTCTACAAAGCAAGAGAGGACTAGGAATTGAGCCTCAGCTAATAAAGTGGACAGAATTTAAAGTTGAGAAACAGGCTCAGTGTCCTAAAACTCATGGTGGTGTCTAGTCTTTAGCTCCTCCACTGGGTGGGTGATTTTGAGGGAGAATTTCTCTGTTGCCCACTATGATTCTGACCAAGGAGAGGATAGGAGAGAGTACAAAGATATCTCAGGGGAGAGAAAAAATGGGAAAGGTAAATTAACAAAGGAAAAACAACACACAAGTCAAGGAGATGGACTGTGTGGAACCAACAAAGAAATGGAGGAGGGTGACAACACAGCAGTCTGACTGCTTGGGAGATCTCTTCCTGCAGTTTGTGCCATCTCCACTAACACTTCCTGGGGACTAAGCAGAAGCCATTGCAAATTGAAGCCCAGTTCTGTCATTACAGGTCATTTCATGACCATGAAACTAAACTAATTTTGATATATTGTAAACCAATAAATAAATAATAAAACAAGTTACACAGAACTGGGTGCAATGATATTTCTTAAGCGTAGTCATTTCCTCCCAGACTGTGTCACTTATCATAGTGAAAAGCCTTTATAAGTTAATTCCAGAAAGCACTGAAAAATAGCATCATAATAGACAGTGCTCCGATAAATAATTTGAAAAATCTACCACTTTAAAAAAACAACTACTGTAAATGATGAATACTAAGGGTTTAAGTTTCTCAGTTTTTAGTTGTAATACTCATAGGTCAGAGCAGATAAAGTTATTCAGTTTAAGATATTATAAGTCACCTTTTCCATTAACACACTCTAAATTTAAACTTCTAAAATCTCACTGTCTGAAAGTTTAGTAATGAAAGTGCAAAGGATGCATACTGTTTCATGCATTTAGGAAAGTAAGAGACTGAAAAAAAAATACAATATCAAGAGCAGTATGCCTGTTGTGAGTGGATACCTCCAGAACAATAAATCGAATAAAATTCACCGAGAAAATGAAAAACACGCAGTGTCAAAAGATAAAGATATTATGTTTTATATGCAGTGTAAATTCCAGTGATATTTGGGCTATTAGAAATAGCTACTTTTAGCTCAAATTTTCTGGAAGAGCTTCTACCTTTAACTGCTTATAGTAATTTCCTTTCTCTAAGTCCAAAAAAACCCCCAAACTCAATGAAAAATAAATTAATTATTTCAATTGTAATATAACTTCAGGTTCTTTCATCTAATTCTGGTTATCACAGTGTTGGTAAATTGCTATACCAACACTGCCATGGCGCTGTTTTGGGTTCCATGTTTAGCTTAACATGTTTATTTAAAACTAGCACATGAACTTGTTAAAAGGTCAATTTGGTTCCTCATGATGTCAAATTCAAAGAAAAGAGTTCTGAAAATGATGTCACAGGTAGCATCAGATGGTTAAACTAATCTGGCTACAGGGTGTAGCATATTTTTGTATATCACAACCCCTGTTCTTAGGGTATGTCTTTTATGATGACTTTCACCAGAAAGATTTATACTAGCTAAGCAGCTTGCCCTAAACGTCTGATTGATTAAACTTTTAACTTACAGTAAGTTAAGCTGTCAAAACATTGCCAATTCAATAAAATTTAAAGAGTTGAATTCCTACTCCGTGAATAAAATAGCCAAACCCCTACGCGTCAGTAAACAGCAATGAAAATTCATTCCTCAACATGTTTTTGTCATGGTAAGTTAAACCATCTTAAACAGTTTTGCAATCTAAGAAAAAAATTAGTTCAGCTTCTTTATGGTACTTTACAAGGTTTTTACGATAGATTAGTGTTGAGCAATTTTCTTTAATTAAAGTGGTTCTTTTGTGATGGCAGATATATTTCCGTATCACTAACACTTTGCTAGCTTTTCCCGATTCTCATTTTCTTGGCATGGCCTATTCTTCTCAGCAGGCTGAGAAGAAGCCAGAAGACCCAAATTCTAACTTCGCTTTTTATTCATTTTGCTTACTTCAGCCTCTCTTGAAAAAAACCCAAAAAAAACAAAAACAAAAACAAAAAACAAACAAAAAAAAAAAAGAAAGGAAGAAAAGGGAAACTGTTTTGAAAGTCACGTATACAATCAAGTTGCAGTTCAGAGTGAACAAAATTTTCCTCATTTAAATCAGGAGTAACTGAATTTATACCATTAGAGTTGCAATGGTAGAGCTGTAGAGCAGAGCTGTATCGCACGTTTCTATCACTGCTGATCCACTCATAGTCTGAATTTACCCACATTTACACCCATCCACTCTGGTGGTCCTTATTGCCTGCTGAGTAGCTCTGTTGACATCTATGGAACCAAAGCCTTTCAAGACCCAAAATGGCAAGTCCTAACTGCTGTAGGCAGTGGCACAGAACGACTCTTTGCCTTTTCTGCACCAGCTGACTTTCACCAATGCATAGCCCCAGGACAGGACAAAAGGGACTGTCAGCGCAGCAGGAGAGGAGCAGAACGGCCTTAGAGCCTCCACAAGCACTGGGACAATTGGCCACACATGTAACTTTTCCTTCAGCACTCTGGGTTCAAGTAGATTTGAAGAGCCCTCTATTTTTATGTTACACCAAGCTGCTCTCTCGAGATAGATGGTTTTTCATCCACTGCAAATGCTTATTTCCCAGACCTTCCCTGATGTCCACCACCATCAAAAGTAAATTGCACTGTTCCTTTCAGTGTTTACAACCTAATTCCTCTGGCCAAAGTCTGCTCTCAGTGCTACTGGTGTAATCTGTTGACTGTGCATATTGAGCCAAATATTGAATTGATTTAAATCTGGGGTGACACAGGTGAAATCAGTAGAACTATACAACTTACACAGGCTGTGAATCTGGCTTATTATCTTCAGATGAATTGTCTCAGCCTGTCCCTGTTGAGCTGCAGAATCTGCTCCATGTTTTTTTGCAGTAAAAGCCCAACCAATTCTAATTATTTTAGCATATCACTATGATTTAGTGACATATAAAAATGGGACTAATGTTTTTACAGTATCTTTTAAATAATTCAAGAATCATTTTATTATTTGGTGATTCTTCATGGAAACCTTGTTTTTTTAAAAAAGATAACTAACTGCTTATATGTTTAGTAGTTATTTCTGCTATTACATTTTTTCATCTGCTAGAATATTTACACCTGAACTACACAAAACACAATATTTGACCTGACAATTATATAAGAACGGCATTTTCATGATAAACAGAAGAAACAGTACCTTAGTATTTTGAAGTTACAAAAATAGAAATAACGTAATAAGAAACAACATATTAGAAGAGGCATTTCTATAGGTTTGTAGTTTGGTTTTTTTTAATTATAGTTCAAAATCACATTCCAGCTTGAAGGATATAACAGACCATAGACACAGATCATGAAATTTCAAAGGATATTCAGAAGCATGACTACTGAGGAAGTAGCCTGAAATAAAGCTATATTATGAAGGTGTCTTGCAACAAAAATGATGGCTAGAAGTTTAAGATACAAAGAATAATGCATAGTAATATTTCTCTATAAATTTATCTCCTTAAAAATCCTGTACTTAGTATTGTCATTTCAAGGGGCAGATTTTTCTGTGGGACTGCACCCTGCATCTCTTGGATAATGTAATTTAGCCTCTCCCATCAGTTTTTCAAATTGTTAGAGAAATTTGTTTTATTAACATGTGGTTTGAAACAAAGTATTTGGAAAGGATATGAAAACATAAAGTATGTTATCAAGTATGTTATAAAGCATGAACAGCCATATTGTCAACAATGATGAACTAAAGCAATACACTGAATATCTGTGGCTATTACCATTGATCTTCTCAAGTGCTGTGTACCTGACAAATTCCATTAGGATTTATTTGCATTTTTTAGAAATGTACTTTTGAAAACCACTGTACATATTGATTGCAATTATTGATTGTAATATGAATAATTAGACATGTATTACATAGATAACTAGTGCAGAACTCTGATTTTGTAGCAGCCTTCTTGAACACTATGTAAATAGGAAACAGTATATCCTACAGCTGGGCTTCATGGACAAAAGTTTGGGATTCATACATAAAATCTACAAATCTACCAGAATTTAGGGCTCCTATGTTTCCACATGGCTCCATTAGGTCTCAAGTCAATGTAGGGCCTCTCTCAGTCTCCACAAAACTTTGGATAGGCCCACTCAGAGGATTTTCCAGCATAGTGAGTAG